TTCGATTGCACCCCCTCCCCAAATTTGTATCAAATCGACAATACAGTAATGGGTTTTATTCATTCTCCAAGGGAAACAGACTTATTGGTTTAAACCTAAAACCACCGCGAGTAATGGGCAACTATCAATGCTGCCGTGCTCGAGGCAAGCTATCGTCAATGAGGCCTTGAATGCTCCTTACAGTTAACTAGTTACATAAACCTTGGTGATAGGAAGAGCGCCGTGTGTCCCTACGATTACTCTCCTCTCAATGAACTGGGTATAGCTGGGTTTGTAAGTAACTGCAATACTGCTGCAGCTCCGCATAAATGGTGTACCTGGTACCTACTGTACCTACCTTACTACCAGTAGTACGTTTGGGTGTATTTGGAAGTACTAACTTAGTACTAGTAGTATACAGTAGACTTTCGCAACTAATTTCAAGAGGAGGGTACAGTACATATACCGGTAGGCATGAAGTGGTGCATCAGTGATGCTGGGGTTTCTGTCCACATTGGAATGCGTCCAGCGCAGTCTGCACACGAAAACAATTCTTTCAATTCGCCAATGTTATGGCAAGCCATGCTGACCTGAAAATGCGAGCAATGTACAGGGTATGCAAGGAAACGACAATATTGCATATTGCATACAAAGACCAAGTCGCCCCGCCTTTTACGTATAACGTTAGATTGAATAAAACTTCAAAATTACTGCCGCTACAGTGCCATCATTGATAAATCACCCATGTAGTCACATCTCTATTACTCGTTTAACCTATTTACCCTGCACGTTTATTGTCAAAACCATGTGCCGATTCGTGGAGTGTTTGTTGGTATCCTTCGTCTTTGCGACGTTCAGTTCTACTTTCCACGTTCCACGTAGTATCATGGAGAACAGACGGCCGTCCGCGCGCACGAGCCGCGTTGGCTCCCACGTTCGCTTTGAGAACGATTGCGTGACGACGCTAGATGCCTTCCGATATATTGACCGCGGGTGCCGCGCGGAGGCGGATATGTTTTACAGTGAAGCCATCAACTGCTTCGTCAACGCAGGCGAATGCTTGCTCTTGGTGTCGGAGCGCGATGGCGACGACATTTCGCCGATGCTTCTGGCCAAGGCCCAAGAAGTGATCGGGTGGGCTGAGAACCTTTCGTTGTGGCTTGAAGGTGGTCGTTCAGGGCCGTTGCCGTCGCGTAAATGCCGCGGGATTCAAGTGCCGTTTGCAATGGAGTACGCGGGGGGCGACCACTACGAGGAAGCAGCGGAGATGAGCTACACACCGGTGGCCTCTGTGAACCCGATCCATTTTACTTCCGACGGGTACCGCCTCCAGTGCATCGGTCGAGGCCGCAAGCCGACGATGATGATTGTGATCACCATGTACAACGAAGACGCGGAAGAGTTGGCGACAACGTTGCGCAAGGTATGCAACAACGTGGCCAACATCCAGAAGAACGCGTTGCCGGGGTACAAGGGCGACGACGCGTGGAAGAACATCGTCGTGTGCATCGTGTCGGACGGCCGCACCAAGGCGAACCCGTCGACACTCGCGCTGCTGCGGGAGCTGGGTCTGTTCAACGAAGACGTGATGACGATCTTCTCCACGGGCGCCAACACGACCATGCACTTGTTTGAGCGGACACTTCGGTTGGGCAAGGACAAGAAACAGGTCAAGCTGTACCATCCGTCGTCCACGTCCACGGAGAAGTCGTACCCGCCGCTGCAGGCCTTGTTTGCGCTCAAGGAAGCGAACGCGGGCAAGCTCAACTCGCACTTGTGGTTCTTCAACGCGTTTTGCAACCAAGTGGACCCCGACTACAACGTGCTGCTGGACGTGGGCACGCTCCCCACCAAGTCGGCGTTCTACAAGCTGCTGTCGACGTTGGAGATGAAGCACGACGTCGGCGGCGTGTGCGGGGAGATCGCCGTGAGCTGCCCGATCCCGAACCTGTGGAACTTTGTGATTGCCACGCAGCACTTTGAGTACAAAGTGTCCAATTTGCTGGACAAGGCCACCGAATCGTGCTTTGGCTTTGTGTCCGTCTTGCCCGGGGCGTTCTCGGCCTACCGCTTCTGCGCCATCAAGGGGGCCCCGCTGAACGCGTACTTTAAGAGCCTCACCACCGACATGGCCGACCTCGGGCCGTTCTACGGCAACATGTACTTGGCCGAAGACCGCATCTTGTGCTTTGAGCTGCTCGCGCGCACGAATGGCGCGTGGAAGCTCAAGTACATCAAGGACGCGATTGCGCGGACGGACGTGCCGTCGACGCTGGTGGACCTGATGAACCAGCGGCGGCGGTGGCTAAATGGGAGTTTCTTTGCGATGCTGTACTCGATCGTACAATGGGGCCGACTGTACACGCACACCAACCACTCGGTGCTGACCAAGATTGGGTTTCTCATCCAGTACTTTCAGCTGATCATCCAGCTCATGTTTGGGTGGTTCATGGTCGCGACGTTCTACCTGTCAGTGTACTACACTGTGTTTACGAGTTTGAAGAAGAACAAGCTCGGGTTTGTCCAAACAGAGGAATGGTACGACGACCACCACTCGATCGCCATGTCGCTGTTCAACATTATGTACGCCATGCTCATCATGGTCCAGCTCATCTTTGGCCTGGGCAACAAGCCCCAGCACGTAAAGAACCTGTACACGGTGCTCAGTGTCGCGTACGCGGTCGTTGTCATCACCGGCGTGTTCTTTGCGTTTGCATCCATCGCGTCGGGCGGCAACATTTCTATCTTTAACATTTGCCTCATCGTCGCGACCCTTGGTGTGTACTTTGTGGCGGCGCTCGTGCACTGCGAACTCCACCACGTGCTGTTTACGATCGTCCAGTACTTGGTCATGCTGCCAAGCACGATCAACATCTTGATGATCTACGCGTTCTGCAACCTCCAAGACTTGAGCTGGGGCACCAAGGGGCTCACGGACTCGAGTGGCCACGGCGGCGACGGCGCGTCCATCGTGGACAAGGCCAGCTCGGGCAGCTACAAGGACCTCGTCGCGGCGCGCAAGCTCAAGGAAGCCGAGGCCAAGCAGGACGCGAAAAAGGCGAACGACGTCAAGAAGAACTTTGAGGCGTTCCGCAGCAACTTGCTCATGTTTTGGCTGCTCTCGAACGCGGCGCTGATCATCGTGTGCATCTACTTTGTGGGCGCAAACGTGTTTTTGCCGTCGCTGTTCTTGTTCATTGCGCTGTTCAATGTGACGCGGCTGATCGGGTCCGTCAGCTTTGTGGTGCTCACGGCGTGGGACTTTATCCTGCTGTGCATTTGCCTCCGGTCGGGCAGTTTAGAGAAGCGGAGAACCAACAACCGGCATCATCGCGCGGCCAACGCGGACGAAGACAACGCAGCCGCGTATGGCCACCTCGGCAGCTCCAAAGTCGACGGGGGCATGCCGTCAATTGTGTTGAAGTAAATAACCAGACCCGCGACTTGTATCTCTCCTGTAATACAAGCCACACATGATTGCATGCTACCAGTATGTGTACAGTATGTAATACCAGGTCGTGCTTGATGGAGCGAAATCAATCTTGGGATTCATACTATACATAATAAATATAACAGTAAATAAATACCTATGTATACCTACAGTATTAATTTTATATCAAGGCACAATAACTTACGTATTATATGTGCTTTGCACTTGTTTTGACGTCGTTTTTACGTGGCTAAAAGAGTGGTACTTATGCTGTAACAGTGTTATTAATACAAAGTTGAATAATAAATACCTGGTGTTTTAGCTAATTCACTGGGGTTATATATTAATGCCAAATAACTCTCAAATAACTCTGAGCAATAATAATCACATGTGATCCTGAAGTGACCAAAACACCTTGGCTATTAATTCCATCGCATAGTACGCGCTACCTGCATGTACTACTCGATGGAACAAGAAGTTGGCGTGGTTTTCTACGACGTGGCACCATACGTACATTGCTGTACGGTAGAACACCGGCGCATGTCCTCGCTGTGTGTCATTTGTAATATCAAAAGTTGTTCATGATGACCAGTGAATTGTGCAATTTGGTCCCGAGAATAGCAGATATAACTTCGATTTGCACTTTTCAAATGTGCAAAAGCGAGGAGTTGCATAAATGACCTCCCTATAATTACATTCTGTAACGAAACGTGATCCTAAACCACGGTACGGATGATCTAAAACACTGGGGTCGATCTAACAAACACCCAGGTTTATGATGTGAATAGCCAAAACGAGTGAAAAGCACAATAGTACACCATTTTGCGTTTATTTTCAGCTTTTTTTCAAAATATTTCCACTAACCTCCGATATATTTCACCGAATCGCCAATATAATTCACCCAACCTCCATTATATTTCACGCCGAATTGAAATTTGGCCATTATATTTCACCCAACGTCCGATATAATTCACCCAACCAACACTTAAATTCACCTTTCGAAAATATATTTCACCTGACCACCGGTATATTTCATGGAAAGTAAATTAAAACCAACCCACGCAACATATCTACGACATCTACGGCTCAAGCACCAACGTCCATGTCTTCCATGTTTTCAGCACGGACATAAAACGGTTCAAGGCGGGCCGTGTACACATACAAACGATTCGGCTCAATTCCTAATTC